TACTTCAATAAATTTTTTTCAAAAGGAAAGAAAGAAAAAAGAATTTATATCAACATAAAATTAATTATGTGCTATTAAAAAAGCAATACATTCTCAAAACTCATCACTTCCTAATTATCCTACTGCATGGGACTGTTCTCTGTGCGCTCCGGGTTATTGATGACTGTTAATTGAAGCTGTATGGTGGAAATACTCTAGTGATGTGCTGCAGTCCTCTTCCCGACTCCGTGTTCAGTGACGTCATGTTAATAGTTTGAAACCGAGTATTTGCACCACAGAAGCTGGCAGATGCTACAGATCAGGTTTGGGTTTTTTTCCCCCTCCTCCAGAAAGCCAGTGGTTAAACATTTACCAGCACACCCCTGGGCAAAGGGAGGTTGAGGAAGAACATTCCAGATAGTAGGAACAGCTTGTGAAGAGACCCCGTGGTGGAGGATAACATGCCATATTTGAGAAATTGAAATAAGGCCATAAAGAGTATGAAGAGACTCCACCTCGAAGAGTTTTGTGGACTAAATGCAATAACCTGTGTAAAAATCCACTTGACACAGTCACTACCATGTACTGAGGCTTCAGCGATGAGAGTTAGACTCTTGTAAGTGTTATCAGTGCCCAGTTTCTTCAAATGGCAGCTCTCTGTGTTTTAGGCCCAGGGGATTAAGCAGCAGGGAGGCAGCTACTCCTGGCTGTACCTCCAGAATCCATCCCCAGCCCTTCTTCCTCGGCTAAACAAAACTTACCTAGTGCTCAGCACAGCAAGGGGCGCAGTTAAAGGTATTTGTGACCTCAGGGTCCAAGGAATGAGGGACAGCTAGGCACTCAGTGTTGACCAATGTGACATAAACTGAAGGCCCCTGGAAAAGCTTCTTGTTAGCTCCCACTTCCTGACATTCCCTCTCTACCTGACCTGTGTGTCAGAAGGCACGACCGGTATTTTGCAGTCAGGGGGTTGCAAGCATGAAAACGAACGGAGGAGAAGGAAAACATGGAAGATGCTGGATCGCTGATACTAACAAGAACAGGAGCTGCCCTCCTCTGGACTTTGTACACATTACCTTTGAAATCCCCTATCAATTTAAGCCACGGAGATTTGATGTTCTGTTACTTGCAGCTGAACTCATTCCTCACTGATGCAAATGCATTTTCCAGCCATATCGTATAATAAGCAACGTGGCTACAAGAGGCCCGTCAGAAGACTCCAGAAACTTGCTACTGAAAGATCAGGCATGGACCAACAGGATCAGCACCACATGAGAATCTGTTTACAAAGGAGGAGTCAGGACTCACCCCCAATCTCCTAATCAAAGTCACTTTTTAACAAAGTCTACAGATAGTCCTCCCATGACCACTAAAATTTAAGAAGCATTTTATTATAAGGTTCTCACAAAACAGAGCCTCTCAACTTTTGGTTGGAGAACTCCTGCCTGAAGATGCCCTAAGGGTGATGAACCACAACTACCCGTGGAAGCAGTTTTTTTTTGATGCTCTGCTGGACCCCATCCCGACCTCCTAAGACAATCAGCATTTGCTCTGAGCAGCCATCCAAAGTGATTGCAAGGTTACCCAACACGCAGAAATGAAGCCTAAACACGCATCCTTTGATAAACACACTCAGGCCCTTAAAAGTTCAAACTCTGCATTGGGTCCTGACCTCTGAAATATTTATACACAGTGATGCACCTTCCAGATAGCATCTCCTGGAATCTGCTTAGCAGCCAGGCTGCAACTGGGAGGGAGTTAATAAATGCTCCGGTTGTCTATAATTCAGCAGGAAAGCTTTTGCTGAGCCCCCAGACACAGCTAAGAATAGCCAGGTTCCTTCTCATCTGTGAGAGCTCTGAGATCAGAAATATGTTTCCCGCTCCTTTCCTTCCCCCTCTGGACTACATATTAGAGGCTCTCGAAGTTGGTGCCATCCTGGCCGATGCCCAAGAAATACCCTTGTTTGCTGGAATGGATTCAGCCCTTGGCTCATTTCTTCCTTGTACTGCTCCTTGCCAGGCTAGTTCAATCTTGGGTCATCCCTGTTTGGGTTTCTTGATTAACTTCAAGTCTCCCAGGGAAAGGAAGAGACAGAATGCTTTGTTAGAGCAGTAAGGCCATGGGCCAAGCCAGCCTCAGCTGGTTTTCTCTCTCCGAGCAGACTCTTTTGAATAACCACCCTCCTTCCTCTCCGCAGAGAGGTCCACTCTTCTCCCCCAGCTGGGGAGCTGGATCTCCCCACCAGCCCCAGACCAAAGGAGAATCTGAAGGGAAGGAGCTTGAGACCAAAATCAAATCCCAGCTTGGTCTCTCACCTGCTGTGTGGCCAGGAGCAAGTGACCCAGCCATCCTGAGCTGCAGTGTCCTTGTCTGTGACAAGGGGACGATGATACCCACCCACTAGAACACAAGTCCTTAGAGGGCGGCTGTTTTGCTTGTGTCGGCCACTCTTCTGTCTCTAGAACCTAGAACCATGTCTGGCCTGTTGAAGTGAAATGTTTTGGGGGATAATCAATCCTCACAGTAATCCTATGAGGTAGGTTCTGTAATGCTCCCCATATTGCAGTGTCAGAACTGAGACTGAGAATGGTTACATCCTCTGTCCAAGGTCACCTGGGCCCGGATGGGCCTGTGAGGTTAGAGCACAGAGCCGTCTGTCTCTAGAGCCTGTGCCCACCATCCAGCTACAGACATTAGACACTTGAACCTGTGGCCATACGTACACATTTCATGGTCCTCAGGAGGTCAGTGGCACTGGCTCCCTCTTCCTCTTGACCTCTTACAGTGTACCCCCTCCCCACCCTGCTTTCTCCCCATCCCCACCCTTCTCCAAACACTACTTCCCATTGGAGAACAACATCAGAGAGGGGGAGAAAAAGCTCCCTTGGCTCGGCCTCCTCAGGCCCCGCTGGCTGGTAGAAAGCAGACTTTCAAACCCAAGGGAGCGTGGAAAGGGGGCGTATCCACCTCTAGGATGCTGTCATGACACAGGGCTCTTCTGCGCGAGACCTCAGCCTTCTCTTTTTCAACCTTGACTTTTCCATCACCGGTGACTTGTGGCCACGTGTCAGCATACCGCAATCTTTCTAAAAGTGTGATCTGTAGACTAGCTGCTCGTTAGAATTCAGAGTCCCGGGTCCTGCCCCAATGTACTGAATCCGAGTCTCTGGGGTGGAGCCCTAGAGTGTGCCTTTCTGACAACTTCCCTCAGTGGTCCTCAGATACACCAAAGTCTGGAAGTCTCTGACGCAGAACATTGGGAAGTGGGAAGAAGGGAAGCCATTGGGACGTGCATCTTCTCTTGCCCTCGGACGTGGGTGCCCCTGGTTCTCAGGCCTTTCAACTCTGGATTCAGATCAGGACTTCGGACTTGGACTGAATTACACTCTCGGCTTTCCTGGGTCTCTATGTGCAGAGAGCAGATAGTGGGAGGTCCCGGCTTCCACAGTCGTGTGAACCAACTTATATAATAAATCTATGTGTGTATCTATCTATCTGTTATATACCATCTCCTATTGGTTCTGTTTCTTGGAAGAACCCTGACTGGTGTACACACACACACACACGCACACGCACGCACACAAAGTTTACATTGCTATCTCACCCTAACTCTTCTATCCATTTTCCCGAGTTATTTCAAAACAGAATTATCTCAGTTTTCCTTGGTGGCTCCGGGCGTGTCCCTGAACCTCTCCGAGCCTCTGGAGCTATAAACTTGGGATAATAACCCTGCTTTATCTTCCCCAGGAGGCGGTGAGATAATTGAGGGGCGGCCACTTTCTTTGAAAAGACTCAAGGGTTGTACAAACATCACGGGTTTTTACGACCATTCTCGCCACAGCTTCCGGGCCCCCCGAGACGCCCGTGCCAAGGTGTTCCAAGCCCCTGTAGTGCTCATGCACGAGCCCATTCCACAGCTGGGCAGGCTGACTTGCTCTGACCTCTGGCTACATGACAGGGTGAACGAAGGGCAGAACCAGTTGAAAACATCAAATAAGATTCCTGGCTCCCGCCCGTGGACTCTGTAAAGTTTTGCATGTAAATCAACACGCCTTTGTGGAGGGAACAAAGGGAAGTGGGCTGGAAGGGTTCAGGACCTTTGCTCCCAGAAGCTCTGAGTACTGCTTCTTCCTGAAAGATACTGTGAGGCTTCTAGGCATTAATAAGATCAAGTGACCTCATGCTAATTGGCCCAGGATTCCAGACTGAGATCCTGCTGGATCTTGGAAAATGTTGGGTCAACCTTCTCCATCAATTCAGAAACGTCTGTTGCTTTACATGCCATATGCCCAAAGCATTGCCCAGAGACCTGTCACACAGTAGGTGCTCAAATGTTTGTTGAAAAAATGAATAAGCAATTAAACCCATGAATGAACAAAAGAATCAATGTCTCCACAGGACACCACACAGTCAATATGTGCCTTATATGTCCCCATTTCATACCTGCTGCCACCATGAACACAATCCTATAGTCTTTCCCTAGAAATCCAGATGCAATCCAATCCTTGTGACAGCCACTTCCAATCATTCGTCAACTGTCAATTAAGGCCCTCAACTGTGCCAGGCACTGTGCTGGGCACCGTGGAGTCAGATAACACGCAAAATCTCTACCCTCCAGCTCCTTACATTCTACTGGCATTGGCAGAAGCAAGGAAACCTATGTGCCACGTGGGTCTTCCTGGAGTAGTCAGAGGAGGGATCCTGTCAGAGATACTTCATCTCCAGGGGTCAACCATTGCTTTTCTTATCTGTACAGTGGTCACACTCTGTCCACACCCCGGGTCTGAGCATCTGATCAACTGCTGAGTCCTGTTGTGTTTACGTCCTAATAATATTTTAGTCTGGTTGCCTTTCCTCATTGCCACTCCCGAATCCAGAACACCATCAGTGCTCACTGGGCAGCTGCCACAGCCCCTGCTCCTGCCATCCTTCCCTCGTTATCCTCCCAATGGCTTGAGCACAGTGCCCTTTCTTGGGGGACAACTGACAAACACTGCATCGTGTTTTTGTTTTGACAGCCGAGGACCGATACAAGGTAGACCAGCACTGGCATTTCTGCATTTGTGACCAAAACAGGATGTACAGAAGCTAAACACACAAGCTCTGGATTCAGATTTCCAATGCCAAATGTTGGTCTTTGCCACTCACCCCTTGTGCGTTCTTAAACTTAACCTTAACCTTAACCTCTCTGCACCTCAGTGTCCTTACCTGCAAAACATAAAATTTTTATTTACCTTTTAGGCTCATGGCAAAGTTTATTCCATTAATATATGGAAAAGGTTTACAACAGTGTGAAGCATGACGCAGTGAGCGCTCTATAAGTGTTATCCATTATTGATGCTTTCATCTGGCAAAGTGTTGCGAGGGCAATTAAGTAAGACAAAGTACATTACTTGAGGTACATTGCACTCTTGCTTCTGAACAAATATATTTGTTATTTTCCCTGGTCAGACCACGTAGCACTTTTGAACGAATTATGCACACGCAGAACATTTTTGAGTACTCCTGGGCACGCTAGGCAAACTCCATAGAGACATCTTTCCTCCGCCACCAAGTGCATTCTCTTCCCATCTCTATCCCCAAACTAACACGTACCCCTAGAGCTCTTGTTAATCACAAGATGTTGCTCCATGCTCACCCACCCCAAGCTTGCCGAATGTTTAAGCTCCTTCTCTCTGTTCACAAGCATCTTCGCCCTCTGAAAGCTTGCCAAATGTTTAAGCTCCTTCTCTCTGTTCACAAGCATCTTCGCCCTCTGACAATTCTCCCTGCGGTGGGAGAAGACACGTGGATGCTGATCTCCACCTGCGACTGCTGGCTGATAAATTCTGGTACCTCTCCCGCCTCCCCCACCACCACTTTTTCCTCTTTGACTATTCCCAAGCCCTCTGTCACTGTCTGTTAGATTTCCATTGCAGGAAAAAAAATTACTTCCTAAAATGTTCAAAAGTCCTTCCTTGGTTTGTTATTAAAGCAATTATCTAGCATAACACACTGAAATCGCAAAAGGTATTCTAATGGGAAACAAATGCTCCAGACAAACGACCGACCGGACTCAGAATCTTTGTTGAAAAATGAGAGGAAGGTGATTAGTGGGGAAAGGCAAGTGAGGAAAGATTTTCCACCTGGCCTTGGACAGTACATCAAACGGCCATCAAAAGGATGCTATTTATAATCATTATTGCTCTGTCTTTGGAGCCCTGTTGGTCCAACTGTGCCTCTTGCCTCTTTCTGTCTTCCCTACTCGATCCCCTCTACCCACCTCTGCCTGCAACCCAGTTCACGTGGCTGCCATCTTTCAGGGCTCAGTCATAGGGGGCCATGTCCTGGGAAAGTCTGCATGGTTTGAGGTCCTTGTGCAATCAAGACAGGCTCCTATGTGTCTTCATGCAGACCCTACCATCTTTATAAGTTCATTCAACTTTTCAATAGGTAACTGCCAACAACAAAACTCAACACCTAGAAGATACGCTGAACTGCACACATGTCCAATGGAAACGCTAATTTTCTGGGGATGGGGGCTGGAGTAGAATGAATACCCCGGGGGGAAAAAAAGCCAAGAAGAAGATACAGCCATTCCACAAACACTGATCAGGCACTGACGATGTGTGTGTTGCTATACGTAGCACTGGGAAACTATCGTGAAAATGATATCTTCAAGTGTTGATGCTAGTGTAGAAGGTAGATTTAATCTGGGGCCAACTCCTGTTGATTGGCCAGTACTACCTGGAACCATGACTTGCAAAGAGTCTCAGCTTGGAAGGAAATAACTCTGTGATTAATTAGTGATGCCTGCCAAGGACACAAAGGGAGCAATGGCAGCACTCTGCATATATGAAAGTGTTTGTCTAGCGCTGCCCTTCTCAAACTTCACTGTACATGCAAATTAACTGGGACCTTGCTGAACTGCAGGTTCTAATTCAGGAGATTCTACATTTCTCCCAGGGGAATGCTTATGCTTATGGCCTATGGGTCTCACTTTGAGTAGCAAGTGTCTAGTGGAACCTTCCAATGAAACCACCACTTTCCCAGACCTGTCATTCCCATGGTGAAATAACTCTGTCTAAATCATTGTACTGGAGAACGAGAGATTGCAGGGTATATTCTGAAAGAGCCATTCAGCATCTGGTCTCTGAGGTTCCCGAAATTGAAGGCAGTGGTTCAGCCAGCTCAGATCTTGAAAAGGTGGCTTCCATTGATTGGCTGACAGCAAATGAAGGCTCCCAGAGGGTTAGAGCCTTAGCTCGGAGCCCCAACCAGAAGTTCAGATGTTTTGCCAAATCAGTTCCGAGGTTTCCACATGTCTCTGGAGGCCTCCCAGGCACTCAGTCTAAAGCTCCAGAAGGTTACATTCCTGGGTGAGCCTTTGGGCAATACCACCTCCCCAACGGCTGCACAGATGATCACTTCAAAGGTCTTCTTTTTTGTGGTATTTTACTGCCTCTGACCTTGGCAAGGAACCATCAGCCCAGAGGCGTATGAAAGTGAACAAGAAAAGAGAAAACATGGTTCATCAACTCCCCAACTCCTAGCCAAGCAAACTCTGCCAAAGCGCTTTGCTTAGGCTACGTCTGAGTTTGGATGAAGATCCAATGAGAACTTAGAGAGTCAGTTAACCCTTGATTTAGCTCCACACTTGAATCCTACTGAAGAGCAAAAGGCACCCACCAGGTAGGTGGTGTGGTATTTAAAATGTTCCAACTGCTCAAAGAAAATCTCCTATCCATGCAGTGAGAGGAGTGACACAGTGTACGATCTGTTCTGGGCGACCAGAGATATGTCTCTGCTGAGCAGGGGTGGATGGAGATGAATTTAAGAGCAGAGGACATGCAAATCAAACTTCTGGGGCGGAGATTCTGCTTCACCGCTTGTCTGCTACATCTCACACTCTTTCCTGCCCGTGTGCTGCTGTCTAGCTGGCCTGCCCATCTTTCTGTTCCTCTAGGCTCATTCCTACCCCAGTGCCTTTGCAGCTGCTATGCCTTCCGCTCGGAAGGATCTTCCACAACCATATGGCTGCTTCCCTCTCATCATCTGAGTTACACCTCACATCACACCTCTTCAGAGAGGTCTTAACTGATCATCCTGTCCGAAGGAGCCCTCTGGCCGTGTTTATCACATTGTTCAAAATCAGTTTGTTCCTAGCACTTATCTCTATCTGAAATCAAACTGTAGTTTTAAAAATCTGTTTATAGGTTAGTTGTCTGTATATCCTTCTAGAATATAAGCTCCGTGAGGGCAGAAATTTGTCTTCTGCTCGCTAGTGTACTTCCACATACTTCGAAGAGTTCCTGACACATAGAAAGTACTCAATATATATATTTATTATTTCTGTGAAATAAATGATCCCTCTGGCCACAGAGATTGGCTCAGGGATGGTCATGTGATTAAGGCAAGGCAAGAGTGTTTCAGGACAGTTTCTTTGGAGTTAATGGGAAGGGAAGTCACTTTCCATGGATCAAACTAGAGAAGGATGTGGGTGTTGGGCTGTTGGCAGTCGTCTCATCTGCGGGGTGGAGAAAGCCTGTCTAAGCTATGGATTCAGCACTGACCACAAACGGTGAGCCTTTCCTGAACCCAGGAAGTGATCGGGATCTGTGTTAAGTCCTCCTCTACCACTTCTTGGCTAGGGAACCCTGTCACGGGTTGGATGCTGGCTCCCCTGCAAAATATGTCCACCAAGAATCTGTAAATGTGACATTTGGTCAAAGGTCTTTGCAGACGTAATTAAATTAGGGATCTTGAGATGACATCGTCCTGGATTCTCCAGGTGGGCCCTAAATTCAATGACAAGTCCCCTTACAAGCAAAAGCCAAAGGGAGATTTGAGAAACACAGAGGAAAAGGCGATGTGAAGACAGGGGCAGAGACTGGAGAGATGTAGCCATGAGCCGAGGGATGCCTGGAGCCCTGAGAGGCTGGAAGAGGCCAGGGTCAGCCTGCAGATGATGCCCTGCCGACAGCCCGATTGTGACCCAGTGATGCTGATTTCAGACTTCCGGCCTCCAAACCTGTGAGAAAACAAATTTCTGCTGCTGCAAATCTCCAAGCTTGTGGTAAACTGTTAAGAGTCGTTACAGGAGACAAACACAGACCTCCATCCCCTTCTCAGCCTCAGTTTCCTTTTCAGGAAAATCAGAATCATCATCCCTGCCCTGTTTTCATCAAATGATGTCAAATTCAGCCAGACGCAAATCCCAGCTCGCTCACTTGCTGTGGGATCGCAGGCAGCCATTGTTTTTTCCAAGCCAGTTTCTTTATGAAATGAGTGCATTTCCAATGTTCTCTCCATAGACTTGTTAGAGAATTCAGTGAAGTCATGCATCTCAAGTTCTTCATCTGGTGCCTGGCACATAGTTAACGTTCAATAAATGACTAGACTATTTTAGATGAAAGCACGTTTGGTTTGCTTGCACTGGTGTTGCCCTCTTGAAGGTGTCATTGTCACAGAAAATCCTTGAATTATTATTTCAGGAACGGTCCTACATGCCAACGAACAGTGCACTGCAGTGCGTTGTCATTTTCAGGTCAGTGGTTTCTGAACTTGATCATTAGCTGCCAAGGCGGCTGATGAAGAGTTATTCAGAGATATGGTTAAACACACAGGTTACCGGATTCCACTAGATAGTCCTTAATTGAGAATTCTGGAAGTAGGACCAGGAACCTGGATTTCAAATCAGCAGAGCTACAAGTGGGACCCACTCTTGCTTTCTTTCTTTTTTTTTTAAATTTTTTAAATGGAGGTTTAGTTGATTTACAATGTTGCGCTCATTTCTGGTGTACAAGCATAGTGATTCGGTTATAAAGATACACACATTCTTTTCCATTATAGACTATTATAAGACATCAAATGTAGTTCCCTGTGCTACACAGTAGGACCTTGCTGTTCATCTGTTGTGTATACAGTAGTTTGGGGCCTACTCTTTTAGATCATTATTTCTATTATTATTCCTTGGAAGACAGCTGCTGAAAATATGCCAGATACGACCAGCTCCCAGAAGCTGTGCTGGGGTCCCCCCCTTCCCTCCTGGCTTCTCGGCCAGTGGACTGCGGGATTGGCGGGAGACAGCCTCTCCCCGCGGGCGGGTCCCCCCGGGACCATGTTCGGGCAGTCGGTGAGCCCTTCATCAGCCCTGTGATGTGGTGTTCCTTGTTGGGCGAGCGATAAACAGAACGAAGAGCAGTGGAATCCAGATATCTCAGGCACGCTGTCTGGTTCCTTTATCCCAGTTGTCGAACCACAGCTGGGATTCGGAACCTCAGCCAGAGACCAAGCTGCCCCATCTGCCTCCTGAAGGCCGTTTGCTGGAAGGAGAGACCACGTTTGGAAAAGGCCTGTAGCCATCGACTGTGTATCATCTTCTCCCTTTCGTTTTCTACGTGGAAGAGGCAAAAACTTGAAGAAGTTAAAAGGCCCTGCTCGCTCACAGCCTTGGATGCACGGGTCACTGGGATGCTGGAAACCCCGAGCGGCTCCCAAAGGCAGACTGTTTGGAAAGGGAGCTGCTCCCTGAATTCAAAGTCTGCCTCCGTGTCGTAGACATTTGTTCATTTTCTGGCTACTCAGAGCTGAATGAAGAAGAGCATAAAACATTTCTGATACCCATGTCTCTACTAACAGAGAACAACTAAAGGAACACTGAGCAGGCCTCCTGTCTCAGGAACAACAAAGTTTTCATACTCTCAGCC